GTCGGTGGCAATGCTTCTTTCGAAGCTAGCTTCCCGGTATGCCGTTACATTATGAGTTAGCGGGCTCGGGATGAGAGTTCAGATCCACAACGGCGCCTTCGGCGGGGAAGAGGCAACCCCACCGCAGCGGCCCGCGTCAAATCTCCAGCAACGCTCCAGGCCCTCTCGGCGCACTCAGATTTGTTATCTCTCCAAGCAAACACATCGTTGCGAAAGATCCTGTTATAATCCGTACGTCCACAAGGTCTGGAGTCAGCATTGAACGGTAGTAAGCGGCAGTTCACTAAATGCCGGTAAGCATGTCGCGGCACAATGGTCGATACGCATGTCTCCTCACCTTCATTGCCGTACAGGTGGTTAGCGCATCTGTCTTTAACCAGGCGGCACCCCGGTGTTAACATCACAAGCTTGCCCCACCTATGATGTGGGTCATCTTACCACACAGCAGCTGCAGTTGTACCTCGAAGTATCATTTTGGAAGTTGAAGCTAGCTCGCATCAGTTGCAAAGCATGTTGTCAGCGACGTCTATCACGATCACCATATCGCAGCCAATTTCTCGTGTCCTTCATCGCTATCAAATCCGTGATCTCCCCAGCCTATCACCGTCATGACTGAAGGAGACCCCATGAGCATCGCGATCGTCGGCGGCGGCATCGCTGGCCTCACGCTGACAACCGCACTTCTCACGAAATGTCCACACATCAAGATCACGCTATATGAGTCCGCCGAAGCCTTTGGTGAGATAGGCGCAGGTGTCGGCTTCTCGCCAGTCATGGTTCGCACAATGGCTCTCATCGATCAACGCATCGCGGAAGCGTTCGTCAAATGTAGCAAAGGCAACACAGTCACCGACCCACCGAACTGGTTCCATGTAAGGGTTGGAGATGAAAGAAAGAAGAATGTAGAACTGGGAGAAGAGATCTTTGTCATACCGGGGAGGAAGGGACCGGGAGGGGGCGTGCACAGGGCTCACTTTCTTGATGAGCTGGTCAAGCTGGTACCGGAGGGAGTCGCGCATTTCAGGAAGAGGGTACTTGAGATTACCGAAGCAGACGACGGCTCCAGCGATGCGATCTTGCACTTTGCCGACGGGTCTACTGCGCAGCACAGTGCGGTGCTTGGGTGCGACGGGATCAAAAGTCGCGTGCGATCTATCGTGCTGGGTGATACGGATGCGGCGAAGGCGGTCTTCTCGGGGAAGTATGCGTATCGGGGGCTGCTCCCCATGTCGGAGGCGGTTGAGATCTTGGGCAATGAGACACCAAGGACGCCGCAGATGTATATGGGCTATCACGGGCATGTGCTGACATTTCCTATTGCGAACGGCACGCTGTTCAATGGTACGAGAACTCCGCTCACCCGCCAACCCGCGTAGCTAACGTACCCACAGTCGTCGCTTTCTCCTCGCGACCCACATGGGAAGACGAGAACTGGGTGGTCCAAACATCCCGCGATGACATGCTGGAAGACTACAAGCACTGGATTCCTGCCGTGCGCAGGATCATGGAAAATGTCCGGAAGCCCGACATTTGGGCGCTATTCAACCACCCACCTGCATCAACCTACTATAGCGCTAAGCCACTCATCTGCCTGGTGGGCGACGCTGCTCATGCATCGACACCGCATCAAGGCGCAGGCGCGGGCATGTGTATCGAAGATGTCTACGTCCTGAGCGAGTTGCTATCGCAGTGTCATACAAACACTGGCCTCGAGGCGGTATTCCACGCATATGACGCTGTTAGAAGGCCGCGCAGTCAAAAGCTGGTTAAGACCAGCAAGGAAGCCGGTATGCTGTGGGAGTTCGAAGGAGAAGACGTCGGTGACGATTTGGAAGCGCTGCGGAGCAATGCGCAGTCAAGGATGGCGTGGATTTGGGACCACGAGATATCGAACGACTTGAACAAAGCAAGGCGTATGATGCAAGAGGGCGCGTTGAAGACTCCGTAGGCGGGGATGCGGCGGTCAACAAGTCACGACAATGCTCGACACCTACATACCACGAACGACAGGAGTGAATGACCCAGAAGTCTACAACGCGTTGAGATCGAACCAACCTTTCATTTTGATACTAATGTAAAGCGCGCGCCTTCGATTTGTCCTTCTGCGTGGGATGCGGTGGTGTCGCAATGCCGGAAGACATGCATCTTCGCAGCCACACCATCCAGGCTCGAGCGCGTTTCGCTTCATGTTCCGTTTTCCAAATGATCTGGTCCAACGGCAGCCGGTTGTCGCTTTGCGACCAGAAACGGAAGCCGTTCCAGGAAGCCGCTGGGATCGACTGTGCCGCACAGCCTCGCTACCACACTACTTCAGAACTTACCCCACGCTCGACAGAAGACGATGCATGAAAAATACAAGCGCGCAGCCTCGCTCCTACGCATCAGAGCACCTGGTATGCTACACTGCGCCTAGCATTCATCCAGTGAGGAACCGCGAGGATGTAGCCTGGCCAGCTACTCCGTCTCAGAGGCGTCGAACACAGCCACGGCCTTCCACAATTGGCGGCCTCAAGCGGAGGTATGTGGTATCACGAGCAAAGCCGTGAGCGTCGATGAAGACTGCGCGGTTGAGTATAATTAGACCTGGGCGACAGCATCAAGCGGTGCAACTCCACAGCGTCGCGACTTTACCTTTATTGCGCATTTACCCTATACATACTCTTTCAAGCATGCCTCTTTCCACATCCAATCCCAGGGCCGTCGTTGGCGATGCGTCTGGCCGCCGCTGGGACCCAGAAGCGGTGCTCAAGCTTTTTCAAGACGGCCGCTGCGTTGAATTGGCGCCCTCACTCACACCTTCGTGCGATGCCATATTCTGGTCGCTATCCACTTCACCCCATGGCACTGCGATGACGCAGAGCGAGACGAGCCACTCGCAACTTCCGCAACACCGACGACCTGGACGAAATGATACTCTCACGAACGAGAGAAATCGCAAGTACAATATACCGTAAATGCCGCATGCCTATACGTCAAGACAACGCACACAGGGTCAAATTATTGCTGGCTGGTTTGGCGAACCAGAATTCAGACCCTGAGCAACTTCGTTCAAAACTCCAGCGCCTCGCTGAGCCGGCTTGTGTCTTCGTTTCCATCAATACCAAGTCGACAAGATGGAGATCCTCTACGAAAGAGAGAAGTATCGCGTCTCCAAGGAGCTAAACCGTTGGATGAAGAGGATGTGGGAGGCGTTCCCTAGGTATGATCGAGTAGACGAACGGGTCGACGCTACGTCGGAGCGGGTGAGGCAGCGGCCTGGATCTGCGAACAGTAGGTCTTCTACTGCCCACCATACAGCGCAACCATCTAACAATACCTCAGTCGGGGCGCCATCGGAATCCGAGCTTGCCGCACGTGCTGAAGCACAACAGGCCATCGATGTGCAACGATCGCTCCGTGATGTCAATCGCCGCCTCGAGGAGCTTACGGCTCTTCAAGCTGCACACCGAAGCATGGCGCAGTTGGAGTCTCGTGTTTCTCGTCTAACGAGATCGATCGATCCGCCTTTGTCGTCTTCGCAACCGCCGAATATCCTCACCGACTTGCGCGCGCGAAGGCAAAGAGCGCCGATTCGACCTGTCCTCACCGCAGCGTCGGGTCGAGAGAGAAGCCCAACGACAGCGGGCGCGCGACCGCCGTCTAGCGACTCGTCTAGCGATTCGTCCAGCGATTCGTCCAGCGAGGCATCGAGCCCGACGGTGTCGCACCCACCCTATATGATGCGGAGGCTAGCACGACATGCGCGAAGACCGACAGCGGCCGGCAGAGAACCTTTGTCCAGCGCATCGTCCAGCGAGTCGTCCGGCGAGGTACAGGGCCAAACGTTCAGCGAAACATCCAGCGAGGCCTCGAGCGTGACTGTGCCGCAGGTATCACCAGGCTTCACGACCTCAACACCCCGCTGTGCGCGTTCGCATGCCCGCCGTCTGCCCTTCGACGATGAATGTCCCATATGTCAAGAAGGCGACCTTCTCTCCCAATACGATCGGTCGGAGGTTGTGTGGTGTGAGTCCACATGCGGAAGGACTCTCCATAAGAGATGCTTCGAGGATTGGCGTAAGCAATGCTACATCGATCACCGGGACTTCACATGTCCTGTGTGTCGCGGTGACTGGGAAGATCGCTCATGCGAAGCGTGTGACCTGATGCAGTTGCGCAGGCAAAAGATCGAAGGGGATTGCGCTATCTGTTGCCATGCGATGAAGGGAGACGCGCCGGGGGGCAGGGAAGACCTCGTGTGGTGTAAAAGCTCGTGCGGGCAAAACGTCCACCGAGAGTGCTTCGATAGCTGGAAGGAGCATTGCGATGCTGGCAAAGGAGGCGCGACTTGCGTGCATTGTAGGACGTCGTGGCGTGAGTGTGATGATTAGGGAGCAAGGGATGCGCGAGCGCGGCGGTTCGATCTTGCCGTCGGAATGGCGTTCCGATCGGAGCAAGCACCTCGCATCTTCAACTGATAGGCCTACCTCGCGCCTGCCACAACCGTGTATTTGAGAGCTCGAATCAAAGCGAACATACCACCTAGGCAGTCGCCGACGTCAAGACATCTGCACCCCTACCGCCCCATTACTAACATCCACGTACCGCGCTGGCGCTGTCATCGCATGCGGGCCAAGTCCCACCCACCAATCTCATCAGGCACCAGCCTGCTTCGTGCTATGCCCGTCCCAACATCCTCGCTCGCGTTAACCGGGAAAAGAGGCTGAACACCCTAGAGCCTACATCAACTTCACGTCAGCTACTTTGCATACTTTTGTCCTCATGTAGTCTGCCCACCTGATAGGTCTTTCTTGCATGAGTCGCTACGAGTGTACCGATCTCGCAAACATTTGGAATCCCCCGCTCTCCACACCTTGCTGAGCTTTCCGCGCACACAAGGAGAAGCTGATCACCATATCGCGCTGATACCCATGCGGACTCTCGACGTGAAGTGACCCCATCAGGCGACCACGTACCGTACCTTCCACAACTACCTTCGCAAAGATGGGATTCTGCCATACATGCCAGTCCTTACCTATTCGCAGCTTCCTGAAGCTTCATCAATGCGACAGTTCCGTGTACGACGAATTCCAGTGGTTTCGGTTGCCCAGGTCGGTCACCACTGAAGAAACGAAGGAACCGTTCTACAGATGGCACAACAGCGTATCAGACCTAGAAGCTAGTGTCAGTACATGCGCATTCTGCGAGGTCATTTTCAGTCATCTTAGTGGCAGCTATCACTACCAAATGAACGCTAAGGACTGTGATGGAACAGCTCTTTGGATACTGGCGCCGATTGGCTCGCCCATGCTGAAGGTGTTCATGGGCCAGGCGGAACCTCAGGTACAGCTCACTGGCAACTTCAGTTACACGACCACTCCAGGTATTTGACGTCCACTTGTTGACACAGGCTTGATTTGACGCGCGCTCTTCAGACAGCTCGGTCGCAGGTTGCTTCAAGAGCCACGTGCCCATACAGAACTCGGTTCATCCTTATGTCCTTGAGCAAATGTCAGCATGGGTCAAGAACTGCAATGAAAACCATCCGGACTGCTCAACATCGGTGCCGGCTCGCAACACATCTCAGCTACCTACGCGCCTTTTGGACCTTGGTTCCATGCCTAAAGCGGCTGAATTCGAAGGTGCCGCAGGTGATCCACGTACTCTATTGGACAACACATCACTCAGGCTTATCGAGAAAGGCCCAGACAGTGAAGGCCATTATATCGCATTGAGTTATTGCTGGGGAAAAGCTTTGGCATTCACCACGACTACCAAGGATCTCGACAAGTACAAAGAGGATGGGGGAATCAAGTACAACCAGCTCCCCGAAACCATTCGAGACGCCGTCTTTCTCACCAGATATCTAGGCATCCGATACCTCTGGGCTGACTGTCTTTGTATCATACAAGATGACGGAGCGGACTGGGAGAGAGAGGCTTCTCGGATGGCTGATGTGTACAGCAACGCGTATCTGACCATTGCTGCGACACGTGCCAGCCATTGTGGCGAGGGCTTCTTGCACGCACGTAAACTCAGAGGAGAGACCATTGTCTCTTTTGCAGATGACAAGGGCTCTTTCGACCTTTACTTCCGTTACGACGATTTGATGTGGTCTCCTGGTTCCATGGAATCTATTACTGACGAGTCAATCACGATGCGACGGGTACAGCTCATCTTTCTCATGATCCGCACAGCGTTCCGGCCAGCTAACGTGAAATAGGAAGAGCCACTCTTGAGCCGCGGCTGGGTACTCCAAGAACGCATTCTTGCAACACGCACTTTGCAGTTCACAAGCTACAACATGCGGTTAGAGTGTTCCAAGCAAGTCTTCACTGAGCCCCAATTCGTCGACGAATACGGCACCTCGAAAGAGACGTCTTTGGAAAGGATAGCAAAGGGGCTTGAAAGTATCAAAAACGCGGCACCAATCACAGGCACTCAGGAGATACAGGTCCCGGTAGTCAACGGGAGGTCCTACGGATGGCGCGTATGGGCCCGCATGATTGAAGATTACACATCGCGCAATCTGAGTTTTGCGTCCGACAAATTCCCCGCTCTAGGTGGCGTTATTTCAGCCCTACAGGAGCTGACTGGCGATACCTGCTTCGCGGGCATTTGGAAGAGCTGGTTTCTACAAGGTCTACTTTGGCGTTTGCAGGATCCCAACTGGGATGAGTATGTCTTTTTTCCGAAGGAACCGCAGAGGGCCGTCCCCTGGAGAGCTCCGACGTGGTCATTCGCATCTGTCGAAGGGGTCGTGTTATATCTACTCCTCGAGGAGAATTTTGACCAAGGACTGTGCGCCGAACTGCTCAGCTGCGAAGTCACGCCTAAGGGTAAGAACCCCCTTGGAGAACTTACAGACGGATTCGCCAAGATCAGAGGTCCGATAGCTGCTGTCTCTGGTGTATTACCGGATCTATCGCTTAACGGCAGAGAGTGCATGGTCAGCATGACAAACGGTAGACTTGCTGAAGCCAGTGTCTACTTTGACATCGACGTGTACGACTCCTGCCAAGTCCTCATGATCACTCCTCATATGGGTGTTGCTATTATACCGGTCAAAGTGGCCGAAGGAACATACACAAGAGTTGGGGCGGTCTCGGTGTACAGAGTCTTTGACCCAGGTAGCGACACTCGAAGTCGCGGTAGGCGGGCACACGAGAACCGCGACAGATCGATTTCGGCGTCTCACTTCCCCAGTCCGGAGAACATCACCCTGCTGTAAGGCTCGGGGGCCAAGAAGGTTGGCCTGTATGTGAAATGGAAATTAGAGGTCGTTGGTATGTTGCAGGAGTAGCTCCCGTTTAGTGAGGTCAATCAAGTCGACATGTTCAACAATAGCACGACTCACGATCACTGGGCTAGACGAGGCATAGCATGAAAGAGTCTGTCTACATTATCATTTACTGTCTAGCCACTTCGAAATGCTCACCCAGTACGATGTCAACAGCCTGTTCGGCAATTGCGTAGACTGGTACCTGGTAATGAGCCGCAAGAGGCTTTGGAATAACACTCGCATCAGCGACACGCAAGTTCTTGACCCCAAACACCCTCAGCGATCCATCAACAACGGTCCCCATCGCTGCTGTCCCTGCAGGATGATATGTGGTACTCGCGCCCATCTTGAGTCTCGCGTCGATATCTTCGTCCGACTTCCCCGGATAGCCTGGCGGAATGTGTTCACATTCGACAAGCATCTTACCCTCGGCTGTATCCAACATCAGCTCGGATTGCATACGGAAACCCTCGCGCAAGACGTAGCGATCTGTTTCCGTGGCGCAGTAGTTTGGGTCGATGATGGGATTCGCGGACGGGTCAGACGATGCAAGCGTCACCGAGCCTCGCGACGTCGGAAGACAGCCCATTAAAAAGGTCATGATGGATGATCCGTCAATCGGAATACTAAGACCCTGCGCTTCTGCTCCGACGGCAATGTACATGAGAAGCATCTCGAGGTGAGTGCGTGGGCCATTGAGCAGTGGGTGGTCATCAGATACCGGGCCCTCATCGCGCTCGATGGCTGCCTTCAGTGTCCCGACTTGGTGTATAGGCGCGCGAACCAAGAAGTCTACCGGCCCCCCTCTGTCGTAATTTAGACCACCGAAGAGCGGCGAGCCGATCGCTACACCCTTCTCTGGGTTTCGCAGCTTCCAATAACGGTACATCATCAGATGATCATGCAGATTCTGGCCGACGGCTGGTAGGTTGGATACAACTGGAATGTTGTGCTGCGATAGCTGGGAAGGCTCTCCGATGCCAGAGAGCATCAAGATTTGGGGCGTTCGGTAGGCGCCTGCGGTTATGACGACTTGGCCGCCTTCGTTGAGATCAATGCGTTCGCCATCTGTGAGCTCTACGCCGACTGCCGTATTCGTATCGTCGAAAAGCACACGCCGGACGATGGTTGATGTGCGCACTTGGACACCGTGAAGCGGGTATACGGAGTGCGCCATCTGCCGTTTGCCATCCTGGAAGTTCTCAACCAGATCGCTGATGCCTTGAGGACGGCCGTCGTTCAGGTCATGGATAGGTGGTATGTCGAGGTTCGACCAAAGCTTATGGACGGTTTCGCGCAATGGGTATATACGGCCGGTAGAGGTGACAGATGCCGTGTGCATCGGACCGTCGTGCCCATGCTGCGAGGGATCCGCATCGGGGTCGAAGTGCCTTTCCGTGCGCTTGAAGTATGGCAATAGGCCGTCGTAGCTCCATCGCGGATCGTCAACATCGCGTGCCCACTCGTCATAGTCCTGCGCATCGCCTCGAATCCATCCACCTAACACAGTCAGCTGGTCGCGCGCACCTGCAGTCACCATGTGTACCGTTGTTGATAACGCTGCCGCCGCCAAGGCCTCTAAAGCCTACATTTCGCTTGGGCTTCCCATCGAGATGCTCTTGAGGTGCTGTAGAGTAGTTGTAGTCGTACTGGGAGAAGTGGAGGTTCGCGGCCGCGGCTGGTATGGTAACATGTGGATTCCCAGTAGGATCGGGACCGGCTTCAATGAGTACAATGGATAGCGATGGCTTCCTCTCGTGCAGACGCGAAGCGACTACGGTGCCAGCGATTCCGCCGCCTACGATGATGACGTCGGCCATTGCAGACTCAGCTTGTCCACAGTGCGAGGAAGCGGGTCGGAAATGCCACTGAATCAGCTATATATACGGTGTAGCTCGCATTATAGCACTTGAAATAGGCGGGGCGTATGGGCGTATGGGCGTATGCAGTCAGCCGCAGCGATCCAATCATACATTCCGTTGTCACGGCGTAGCCCACATCGATGTGCACGACAGGCCAAGAGACATTGGTCAGCCGATCCATCGGTATCTTCTAACAGCCTGTTATCATATCCATCGCCCTTCCTTGTCCGCGGCTTCGGCCGGTACTACGATGTTGTGTAGGAGGATCGGCCGGTCAGGTACGCTGAGACCAAAGACGGGACGTGTGTATCGCGGAGGGCGGTGAAGTGTCGGTACACGAGACATCGCGTGATGTGAAGTATAGGACTTTGCTCGCATGTGCCGCTTCGAAGTTGATTGCCCTTACTATGTGTTCACAAAGTCAGCAAACAGCTGAGCAATAAGAGTGAGTGTCTTGAGCTGGAACGACGTGTCAGCGTCCCACGCGCGGGCAGCGGATACCATGCCGTCGATGTTTTACTGGTAATTGCCCGACTTCCTCTGCGGCCTGGTCCAATAGTGTCCATGTTGGCAAGGGGGCTTAAGTTGCTGTGCGATAGAGGTACCAGGTGTGCTATCGGAATTATGCCTGAGGCAACCGCAAGATCCCTATTGCTCTGGCTGAAGGTTTGAATCGCGTCGGAGTAACATTGTGGAAGCCGTGTGCCGTCTCAGGTCTGGGTGGCATTGACATGCAGGGCGACTGTGTTCGTGTTGAGAGCGACACAATGTTTGACTAGCCGGATGACGCATCGGAGCTACATAACGCCGCGCCGCGTGTTCTGCCAGGCACACGCTACCCCGTCAACACCTCATCTTCATCCCCCCATCCAGCTCCTCTTCAAGGAGAACGACGATCGAGTATCCATAATAGCTGTCGGTACCTTCACAAAATAACGCTGTGGTCGAGTGTTCATGCGCGTGACGTTCGCGTCCTCAACTTGCGCAGTCGGGAACGCGACCCAGGCTTGAGCTCCGACGATACCGCGTAGCGCATGCTTCGCTCGGTACACTCTCGATATCGAATACAAAGCCCGCTGCGTACTTCGCTGTCTCGAAAACGCAGCTTGTCCGCAAGAATGTCCCGATACAAAGTCCGGCTCAGAACGACGTCCATTCTCTTCTAGGTTTCACCAGGTTTAAAGTCCATCAAAACGGGTATCAAGGGCGTGCAGGGCATCACGCACGTTGCAGCCAACGCCAATCCCCCTCCCAAGCTTCCTGAGAGCTATGGGCTTAGACAACGTCGCATGGGTCCCGTAAACTGCAGCCGCGTCATTGCGATTATGTTCAGGCTCGACCGTGAGTAGCAATATACGCCGTACACTCGATACGGACCACCGACCATGATCCATGACAGACCCACATGGCCGCGGCAGTGCTGGTGCTGGGTCGGTGAAACGTGAACGGATCTTCCCGAGCCCATATTCGGATTTCGATGGCGCTAAACTAGAACGCTGGTTAGTCAGCGTATCCGTATTCAACGCTTCAAGACCCTCTCGCCGCTATCCGTATTCCCGCCTCCACGTATTTCTTTTCATCGTCCTTTCGCCAATTACGTCGCATTCGCCAAAGTCCGCCATGGCTCCGCGTAAGGTTCTGAGAAGATCGCATCGCAAATCTAGGAACGGTTGTCAAGAGTGCAAGAGACGCCACATCAAGGTACGCGACGGCATCGTGAGCGCGGGTACCTGCATCTGCTCGCGTAGCATTAGGGAATAAACCATACTGATCGTTCTAGTGCGATGAGGCGCAGCCCACGTGCGAGAATTGCGCGCGCGATGATCGTACATGCACGTACTCAAGGCCACCAGACCCATCTCAACGCGCGGTATCCAGCCAATCGCCATACGCGGTTCCCGAGACCACATCAGGATCTTACTTCGGAACTCCAACGTCGCATGGCGTGCCGAGTACTGTGGAACACAGCAGTACGGTGTCACCAGCCGTGACGTCTTCCGTGGACCTGTCTTTCCTCTCTCGGGCGGCGTCGTCACCGCATGGCTCGGACCTCTCTTTCAGCTTGCGACATATGCAGTTGCTCAGCCACTTCATCTACGAGACGTTGCCAAGCCTCGCAGAAACAGGGTCGATAGACGAAACGCAAGCACGTGCTCTTATGCCAGCGATTCTGTCAGAGCCATATGCCATGTACCAAGTTCTGGCCCTCTCCGCCATGCACATGAGCTACCAACACCCTGAAGAAGCAGACCGACATCGCGAGGAGGCTAGAGCTCTCCAAACTCAGGCGTTATGCACCTTCAATAGTGCACATATCGAAGTCACGCCAGATAACCTTGTGTCTATCATGTCATTCTCCACCATGACTGGCTTGCACGCCCTTTCAGAAGTCGCTGGGAATGCCGAAGTGGGACCGGGTGGAGTCCTGGATGGATTCGTCACGTACATGAACTTGCATCGAGGAGTTCGAGCCATCATATCGCAATCCTGGGGATTCTTGAACCAGACCAGCGTTGCTCCTCTTTTCGAGCGAAGCACGAGTGCCATTCATCATGCCATATGTTCGAACGGACAAACAGCAGTAGCAGTGGCGGAGCGCCTGTCAAACTTACTGGACCATGCGGATATGAGCGAGGAATCTCGACAGACTTGCAGTGTGGCTGCATCTGAGCTGACAGTCGTATACCAGACAGAGCCTGACGTGGAAAAGCCGTCAAATCAGCCGCCTGGAACTGGTTTAATCTGGGTGTTTCCAATTAATCTCTCGAGCGAGTTTACGGCACTTTTGTCTATGCGCAAACCGGAAGCGCTCATTATTCTGGCCCACTACGCGGTTCTTTTGCATCGTAGACGCCGGGTGTGGCTGGTCGGCAACGTCGGCAGAGTACTAATCGAAGAGATTTCGAGATTCTTGGGCAGCTTCTGGAAAACTTGGCTCGACTGGCCGAACGAGGTACTTTTGCAACCCTAGCGCGATACGTAGCCAACCAGCGAATACGTCGTATACCATGACTCGTATTCGTCCCCATCCACGCATCGACCACCAAGCGGACTCGCCTGTCGTACCAGAGTACCTACAGTAGGCAT